AATCATGGAATTGTTTACCTTGGAAAAACCCTCTCAGACCACCGAATCCAATCATCCCCAGCACTGCCAGGGCTCACACGGCTTTGGGATCCCTCCGGGGATGGAGATTCCATCCCAGGCAGCTGTGCCAGGGATGGACAGTCCTTTCCATGAAGGAATTTCCCCAATGTCCACTTTGCCCCTCCCCAGCCCAGCCTGAGGCCGTTCCCTCTCCTCCTGTCCCTKTTCCCTGGGAGCAGATCCCAAATCCCCCCCGGCTGTCCCCTCCTGTCAGGGAGTTGTGCAGAGCCACARGGTCCCCCCGATCCCCCTTTTTTCCCAGTTTTTTTCCCCCTTTTCCAGCTCCCTCAGCCTCTCCTCAGGAGCCCCCAACAGATTCAGGGACGGACAGGACTACATTACCCAGCGTGCACCGCGTGACKAGCACATCCACCCACTTCCTCTCTCTTCGCGGAGCATCACGGGACTTGTAGTCCTCGCGCCCCACGTGAAGTTCGCCCCGAAAAAGTTCCCGCACCTTTCCGGGTACCTGTCGCTCCTCGGCAGCGGGGCTGCGCCGTTTCCATGGCGACGCGCCCGCGTAGCCAATAGRAAGCGGCGTTCTACGGGCGGGGGTGCGCGGCGGGCCAATGAGGAGCGGCGTTGCTGCGGGGCGCGCTGGCAGCGCGCTCGGCGAGTCTCCTTGGGGCCGTCCGTGTGTCCGCGGGCCGAGATGGGCGGCAGCGCCAGCACCCGGCGCGTCACCTTCGAGGCGGACGAGAATGAGAATATCACCGTGGTCAAGGGCGTGCGGGTGAGCGCGGGGCCGAGCCGGGGCTCGCTGGGCTGCTGCGGGCTTGGCCTGGCCCGGGCTCCCCTTCCCACTCCGCCTCTCCCCTTCTCCGTCCCCCGTGCCCCTATCCCGCTGYCCTCCCTCTCCCGCAGTGAATTCCCCTCTCTCCAGCGCAGTCCGGGCAGGGAGCCGTGTTCCCCACGTGKTGCCCAGTTCCAGGGGCAATGTGCAACTCCAGGAGCGCGGTTTGCCTTTCCCTGACCTCCACATGCCGGAGCTCCTCCCTTTCCCCTTTCCCCTGTCCCGCTGCTGAGTGTCCTTCCTGTCCGCCTGYGGAGCCGGGCCCCGGCTCTCCCTGTTCATCATCGCTCACAGCGTGTTTTGGGTTGGAAGGGACATTAAAGAACATCCAGAGCCACCCCTGCCATGGCAGGAACACCTCCCACTGTCCCAGGATGCTCCAAACCTTGTCCAACCTGGCCTTGGACACTGCCAGGGATCCAGGGACAGCCACATCCATTTGCAGGGCGGGTGGCAGCAGTGCCACCCCTGTTGCCTGAAATATCCCAGAGTAGAATTTGTGACTCAAAGAACTAAAGGAAATCTTGCAGGATTTTTGCCATGGCAGACTCTGTGTAGCTTATACCAGCAGTGATAATTATTTCTCTTTTATTGCTGTTTTTAGGGAGGGGGAAGTGCAGGAGGAGCCCTGAGAGTTCATTCTATTTCAGCACAGTGAATATTTTCCATTTTTGGTCATTTTATGCTCTTGATTAAATAGGTGACAGTGATACAGGTGCAATATAAATTTCCATATTCCAAATAGAGTGGTGTTCATGTGCTCTAAAACATGGCACAGGTTGCTCAGAGAAGCTGTGGCTGCCCCTGGATTTCTGGGAGTGTCCAAGGCCGGGCTGGACAGGGCTTGGAGCACCCTGGGACAGTGGAAGGTGTCCCTGCCCGTGGCTGGGTGTTGGAATTTAATCCTCTTTAAGGTCCCTCTCAACCCAAATAATTCTGTGATTTGATGACAGAAGTTGGAAACCAAAAGTTTTTATGTTAATAATTCTTACCCTTTTGTTAATTTTACCATTGAGCTTCCATAGATCTGGAAGTGGAGTTTGCTTTTATTCTCTTTGGTTCTGCATAATTTGGGACAGTAATTTTCTGTGTTCTCGTATCAACATTGGAATGAACTTTGTGTTTGACTGTGACTGCTTTTCTTGCACAACTCCTTTGAGGGCTTTCCCAAGATGAAATTCTTCCTGGGATGAGCACTCTGCACCTGAGAAAGGCAAATTAAACCACTGAGAAAGGCAGAAATGCTGATTAATT